ACCCCTCCCTGGGGCCAGCTCCCCCGCTGACCCCAGTAGGCACCCCCACACTCCGCGACCCGCCAGGGAAAGGGGGCCCAGTCCCATCCAGACCGGATTTTGCCAGATTTTCTATCATTAAAATGAACTGAAATCCCAGACTTGAGGGTTGAAATAAAAGGAAATAAGTCACAATGAAACACTGGAAGTGAGGTGACTGATTAAAATCTTTAGCGCTGATTCATTTATTGTAAAGAGACGTGAAATTCTCAGTTTTCCTTCCCTGCTCTGTAACATTGTGAGACCTACACTGATGTTGAAATAGCTGTCGCCTCAGTGTTCAGCACTAACCTGTCATAAACTAAATTGCATTTACGTAGCAGAAGTAGTAACAGTACAACACATTTAACAACAGGAGGCGTCATCGTGACACCAACCTGAGACAACAGCAATAATGGAAAAGACATAATTTTTTGGAGAAGTCAGAGAGTTAATTTTCTGCTAATTTCTCGTGTAATTGTAAGTAAGATTTGACAAAACAAGTGTTTAAGATTACTAAAATTAAAATGCATTGTGGTAATATAAAGAACCAAAATTAGACCAAGGTTGTCCAAATATTTATGGAAGTAACTGTAGTTCCAGCTTTATGTAAATATTTCCACCTGCAAATAACTCCACTCGCAAAGCTTCAATGATTATGTGTTTTTAAAATTGTGTTCTTTAAATGTTTTAATGTTGGCCAACAAAATGGACAAACAGTGAATTTGTTTTTAAATTGAGACTGTGTGTTTATTGATTCTGTCTTCAGAGTAAAATCTTTGTCTCACTGGAAATAGAAAATGTAGAACTTAAAAAAAGGTTTATATTTGTTACATTTTCATAAAGGTTTTTTTTCTCCAAAGTTTTCAGCCCCCCTCTGTCCCAATGATTCACCTCTGACTCTTAGTCTTGCCCCACGGCCTGGCCTGCCTCCAAATAAACCAGTAGAGTCAACTTTATGGTAATGTTACCCAATTTTTCTGAAAGTTTGTTCGCTTATGGAAGCTAATTAGGCATTATTATCTTACTAATAAGGAGTAATGTAGTTGTTAAAACTATTCCAATATACACGTGACAATGATATTTTCTCAGCAGCATTTAGAAGAAATAAATAGTTAGCATGTTTTAGGTTAATCTTAACTCAGTGAGAGGATAATGAACATCTGAACTGTTAGCAACTGTTAGCATGTAACTAACTCTTTTTGTTGCTGTTGATGGGTTCAATGAACCCCCACCCCAACTTTGCTTTCCTAAAAAAAAATTTTTTGTTAATAGTTTCTTTTTTTAGATAGATCAGCTTAGAAGACCTTTTTAAAAGTTTGTTCTAGTTATATAAGTGTATTTCACAGTTAATCTGGCAATAATATAAGAACAGTAGCTCATTTTGGTGAGCTTGTTTGCTTCAGAGTCAGAGAACCGTGTCTGTGAAGGGAGGTTTTTGTACGACTGTTTTTCACTGTGTGAATGAATACTGACTGTTAATGCTGTGTCTGCCCTTACAGTAATAAACTGCTGCATCTTCAGCCTGGACTCCACTGATGGTCAGAGTGAAGTCAGAGTTTGATCCACTGCCTGTAAAACGACTTGAAATACTTGATGCTCGCGGTTTGACCAA